TTTAACACCGCTTCTTCTTTTTCTTTCGAGATATACTTAGTTTGTAAGTTAAGAAAAATAAAAGTGATAATTCTACGTCGAATGTACGGTGAAATTCTTGAAAATTTATATCAACGCTCTCCATATTGTCACTTACATGTACATGTTTCGATCGCCATAAAAACAGTAATGATCGATTTCACTACTGTATTTGGAATATACAAGGGGCGGGGCTTACTGGCGGCAAGATTAAAGCGGGGTCCGCTTCACGCATGAGTGCGTACAGCGAACCCGGAAAACGAACGCCAGTTTCGCTCTAGCGGACCCAGAGCTGACCCCGAGCGAACGCAGAGCGAACCCGAAGCGCACCCAGAGCGGTCCCAAATTTTCTGAAAGCGGACCCGCAGCGAACCCAGGAAGCGAACCCGGGGTGCGCTTTGGGTTCGCTCTGGTGTTAGGTTGTGTCCGGTCGGTACTGTATTAAATTGCTTACGATAGAAGTAGGAAGAGCCGACAACGCACAAAATGTCACGTCCTGGCTAGAATTTATCACGATCTATAACCCCAGATAGTTTGACATTGAAATCTTCATCCGTTCTTGAGATTATCCGTGGAACAAAATCTCGCTTTAAAATCGGAAAATGGTTCGTAACTTTGAACCGGAAGTAAAATTTCCAATTTCCAACCGAATAAAATAAATTCAACTTACGACACACAGTTTCTGAAAATTTCATCTAAATTCACCAAATAGTCTTTGAGAAATCGCGTGCACAATCACTACTGTAATGATTTTCCCCTTAGATTCCACAATAAAAACCCTGACGTTCCCCTGTCAGTCCCTGACATTTTCCTGTCTCCCCCTGGCTTTCTCCTATGTCGTGTCGTTGTCCCTGACTACCTTATCTACTCCCTGACGTCCCCTGACTTTGCCCCTGTTACCACTGTCTAACTCCTGATGTCCCCTGATATTCCCTGACGTCCCTGCGCAAGCAGATTCACATCGATATTTGTTACTTGTGTTTTAACAATAACTGTTAGCAGAAGAAATAATCTGTTACTCATGAAAACTATTCACTTGTTTACTTCTTTTATTCTGAATGCATTTAATTTTTTTTATTCCCTGCAATTCCAAATACAGACATGACTGTGTAATCCTTTTTGACACTTCTTTACTAATGCATCAGTCTATTTTGTCTACTATGAAGAGCGGGACAAGACACATTATTTCGCGCCAAACGTCATGAGTAAATCTAAGCACCTTTTCTTTGGCTTTTATGTTTTATAGAATAAGTGTGCTTGTTTGTTTGTATATTGTTTAACGTCCCTCTCGAGAATTTTTCATTCATATGGAGACGCCACTTGCCGGTGGAGAGCTGCATATTTTGTCCTATGTGAGCTTCAATGAAATTTTTTAAATGTATGTTCTTATAGCTGATTTTCGAGCTTTAGAATGTATATTGATCATACTGTACAAATAACATATCGTATATTGGTCAAGTAACACTAAAGCAATGAGTTCCGGTAAGTTTTTCTTCACATTTTTATTTTCCTGTTCACCCCAAAAGTGGACTATAAGCTACAAATTCATGAAAAGACTTGAATGTTTCGCAACAAAGTATGTCCTGCCCTACGATGGTCATGGAATCTCATACCATTTATGTTTATTAAACAGTCTTTCAAAAAAAGGTTTTTTCTTATATTTGTGGTTTTCTATTTTTTTCATAGAAGACGAGCCCGGCTTGCGAAAGAAATATTTGCCACATAATACTTACTATAGATATTGATTGCTTTAGTCAGACAAGCTCCTTGAAAAGCTATTGCTTATAACAATATTTATTTCAGTTGTGCAATCCCTCTAACTTCTCATTCCTGACATACATAAAATATATAAGAAATAGCAGTTTTTAGTTTGAAGTGTTTAACAGATAAAGTATAAACGTAGAACCAACGTTTTTGGCAATCCTAAAAGGTGAATATCTATTAAAAAAATGGTTTGAGAAGTTCTGAAACAAATTATATGTTTCGCATTCTAATAAGACTCATTATTAGCCCTATCATTTTTATAGCAAAATAAAAAGTTTGAAAATATCGATTTTTTAAATTCACTTCCCTGAGGGAACGGAAGAAAAAGTAGCGACCAGGCTAGTATCTATCACGATCTATAATCTTTGATAGTTTGACATTGATATCTCTCCTCGTTCTCGAGATTATCCGCATTATTCCTCAAAATTTCAGGTGAAGCCATCCAATAGTGATCAAAAAATCGCAAGCACAAAATTAGGAAGTCAAAAAAAAAGATAATAATAACTAAAAAAATCGTTGCAAAATAATGTTTGTTTGTTTGTTGTTAAACATCCCTCTCGAGAATTTTTCATTCATATGGAGATGCCACCACTTGCCGGTGGAGAGCTGCAAATTTTGTCCTATACTCGGCACTTACGGCCATTGAGCAGTGAGGGATCTTTTTCGTGCCATCACCTACTGCGACACGGGACCTCGGTTTATTCGGTATCATTCAAAAGACCGGTCTCCACGTCCCACAGTGGGATTCGAACCCGCGACGTAAGGATCAACTCCTTACTCCGCGACTCTAGAGCAGACGCTCTAACCACTGCGCCACGCGGGCGACTGAAGTTGTGCATGTAATTAATAATTACACACCATACATTACACAATTTTTTCCCAAATAACTTCTAAAAACTAATGATTGGTCAATATAAAAATACATATATACATTAAGTTGTGTATGCTTTAGTATTTAAAATTTACACACCATACATGAGACAATGCACACAATTTGGGGGGGGGGGGTGCTGCATTATTAACGAGTTTGCATAAAACATCCATTACGTAAGAGTAACGTGAAAGGAGAATTCTTCTTACACAAAATATTTACTTTTATAATAACACTCTATAAGCGTAATAATAACCGTTCAGAAGAAACAGTATCAAATTACATGCATTTATTCACAAGCGCAGCCCCACTTTACTAGCTCCAGTGAAATAGGAATTTTCAGTAGAATTATTTTGAAATCATGTGTCAGCATTTAACTTAATGATCGGTTGTATTTGCTGACAAAGTCATTGTATCGATCATAAACTTCCGAAATAATGACTTCATACGAGAATATCCTCGTTTTATCAAGTTGTATGTTAATAGCTTGCCTCATTTTAGAAATTGTGCATACGTAGAGCTCTTGTCACCATACATAAACATTTACCCTCAATTGGTTAAAATTGACACGATAAAAACACTAAAATTTAATGATTACAGTTTACTTTTAAGGTTAGTATTTTCAAATACCATATTTCATTTTTAAAAAGCACTAAAACATACGAATGTTGCTTATATGCTTTGATGTCTTTGATTAACGTAAGAGTGACCACAGTGTAACCCAGGAACACCTGAGGAGCCCAAGTTTAAATCTCAGAACTACGCAGTACTTTTTAGGGGTTTTGTTAGATTTTCATGTAATTTTGGTTACAGTAATGTTACAGTACTGTCAGTATGTTAAGTACGGTATATGTACTCGTGGATTCGTAGAAACCCTTGATAGAAACACGTATCAATATCCATATATGGACACACGGATTATCGAAAACCGGCGTCAAAAAAGCCGTGTGACAATATACCATATATAGAGTCACAGGATCCTCACTCGTAAGTACAATTCCAACTGATATATATATTGGATGAGATGAAATATGGAGATAACGAACAGTATTCAAGCTCAAAAGTCCATTCAAAAAATACAAATCAGGAGAAGAGCAAACACGAACCTCTAAAACATTAGAGGTGGGATCAGGCCTCAGGACCATAAACTTAAAACAGACATAAGTAAAGATTTCGATTTTGAATATCTTGAGTTTCACTTTACATACGGGCTAAAAAAAATTACAGATTTCAATAATATTAAAATTCAAACATACACCAAATTGTGTTTTATTATCAGAATTATTTAAAAAGTTATATTGATTTGAAATTTTGCCTTAAGACTAGCTGTTCTCAGTTCATGATTTTGGGGCCAGATGCCATAAAGGAGTGAACATCCCCTACGACCGGTCACACCCGCCCTGTGCTCCTTGTCTTGAACGGGAAAAACGGAAAAAAAATCCGTAGACAATTGGGTGTGTAAATAACTTAACAATTTAGTGTGAAAAACGTCAATCAGCATTAATTTCATTTTGATAGATTTTATTTGATGACAAGGTCATTGTATTGACCATAGAACTTGCGATATAATGAAATTAAAAGAATCATTTCAAATAGAGTCGAAAAACAAGCTTATGACCATGAATCCATCCAATTTTGATTTGAACAAACGAAGTTATATAAGCACATACTCAGCAAAAACCCTTAAAATAGTTTTAACCTCAACCCACCTTACAATAATTCAGCTCTTACAAGTTAGAAACCGTCTTCCTAGGACATGGATTACCTGCCTGCACTCACGTTTATGTGGTTGAAACTCTCACTTTCAGACTCGGAAACCGTGCCCGTGTCTTCCGTTTAACCGTACACGTTCCGTGCCTCAGACTTGGCTTAGCCGTGCCTATTCCTGTATAAATCTTGTACAACGGTCATATTTGTTCTGTACTCGATGCAAAAATTTGCTCTTATCTAGAAGTGTAACAACCTTAAATCAATTAAATTTCAACAAAATAAAGGCGATATAAACATGTACCGTATTACGTTATTTTTAATATAAAAATGACAGATCTAGAGGTATTTTTAAAGCTATTTTCAAATATACATTTCTGAAGTTGTCCCACACACTCAGGGAGTATTATTTTTATTAAGATAGATCTAGTTCTAATAAGGTCCGTAGAAAAAAAATATTGAAATTCTTAGGTTTAAAACTTGAAAACAAAGAAATATTGGCAGCTCATTGTTATCATATAAAGTATTCAGTTCTTACATATACATGTGCGTTGTATGTGTAATCAAAAGTGTTTATCATTGTCTTAACATTAATCCTTTTACGTATAAAAACCTAAATTTCATAAACTTTTTTCCCTAGTTGATGTTCCTGACTACTGCTTTGTCCATCATGATGCAGTACTGCCTGATTTGGACAACTGTGCTTATTTCTTCAACTGTTCAGATCCAGAATTACACAAAGAGTGCAAATATCCAAATCTTTTTTCAAGAAAATCCTTATCTTGTCAAGACTTTACAACTGTAAACTGTGAAGAAAGGAAGGAACCTCAGGAACCTTGTATTAAAGCTTTAATATTATTTCATTTTGCCATTCAGTTTTTTTTAAGTTGAGTTAAAAACAAATCAAAGAAGATTTAAATTCAAAGCTTAGTTTTTAGCCGAAGCCTCAAGTGAGCTTAAGTGATCAAAGTTATTTTGTTGTCTGTCTTTCCACGTTTTACATCTGATTTTTTATTATCTTTGGGTACACAATGTGTTTTACCAAACCTTAGCATAAAACATCCTTGGGTAGATACAAGTTTGGAACTGAAAGGAACTACCACTTTCAAAAGGAGTGGGTCATATTAATGTCTAAAGTGCCACTGGGTCAAAAAGACAAAAAGGTGAATTCAGAATAATGACCGGAAAATTGTAATTTTTTGGGAAAAAATCTACTTAAGGAGGCTCATCACAAACACATTTTTTTTTCATTTATTTCATTACAGCACATCTTATAATGTGTGTGTGTGTGGGGGGGGGGGGGGTTATGATACCGTTAATATTTTTCAGTGATTTTTTTTTTCAGAAAAACGTTTTTCTGATTTTAGTTAAATGTTTTATTTCAAGTTTATTATTAATAGAATCGCTGATATTTCGTACATTTCTCTTTTCTGCTTGAACTTTCAGTAAGGCGTGACATTCTCGGCTATACATAATTAGCGTCTCTTAAATAGTGACCTAGATTCTCAATGGTTGCCAGATTACTCATCAATACTGAAATTTACACAGCTTTCATTCACGGGTGATATACACATGGGATAAAAATTGGTCAGACGTCAATGAGTGACACAAGGAACCAATTACATCGTTTCTTACAATAAAGAGGTGTGGTTTATGTCATCCCATCGTTTGTTAACAACAAAGTTGCTAATGTTATTCATTTCTTAACTAATGAGACTGTAGGTCACATTTGAGAGCCGAGAATGTCGCGCCTTACTGAAAGTTCAAGCAGGAAAGAGAATTGTACTCAGTGTCAAGTGTAGGACATCTTTTTCAAACATGTACAAAAAATACTTCATAATATTTAAAATTATTTTTATTAGAAAAGATAGTTTTCTCCAAAAAACAATTAATGTCATTTTCTTCTTTACCTGTGCATGGATATTTGGAAAATCAGTTATAAATAGACAAGGAATGTATTTCAATGAATAACGTAACATATCGAATCAAGAATATTTTAACGAAATGAAAATTCAAATTAAAAAAAATGGTTTAAAAGGTCTACTAGCAAGAGTTATCTTTCCTCATCCCTCCAGTCCCAAAACACTAAGGAACCTGTGAACATCTAAAATTCGGAAAAAAAGATTGGAAATATATGATTATTAGCAAAAAAAATCATTAAATTTACTTCTTTTTATTAACTGGCAACGCTTCATTCTACATAAATCAGCTTAAATTACGACATGACAAATATGTCTCCGATCCCAATGAAGACAACTTTTATAAAAATTCGTGCACATTTGTGCTACCCTCTAGAGAATCAGTTAATTCATGAAAAAATCAGTTATTGTATTAAAAATCGTTAGAAAGTACTAAATCTTAAATGAATATCTAAAATATCCCATATGCTATACTATTTATTGAAAATACACTTTCGTCAAAATTTTTTAATGAAATGATTTTTTATGTACCTTAAGTGAAATAATATATTAGAAAACTTAATCAGGTTATTCCAATTTTCATTGCAAAGAACCAGTATATTCATATTCATATAATTGTTTACTTCACGTAGCAAATTCGAACGAAAATGGCTACTGGGTGCCATCCGGTAGGTTACTATTTTTAGATAAAATGGCGTTAACTGGAATAGCTACGATAATGATGGTCGCATGTTAGGCTTTTTAAATCGTTTTAAAGATTAAGATCATATTACATGTATAAAGGAACCTGTTCAATTCGTCTCCAGAGGAAAATGGACGAAACATCATTTGTTTTAAAACTTTCTTTGAAATATCAATTGCAAGAAATTGAAAAATCTTTATTTTTATGAAATATTTAGCTCCTGAGTTACACTCTTTAAAATTTCCCGAAAAATTTCATTATTGTACAAACTTTCTTAACACTGTATATACGTATTGATTTGTAAGTCATGTGATTGCTATAACTCGTTTGCTACTACTTTGCTTTTTTTTCAGGTGAATATAAACAAAACTTGTGTCCAGTTTCCTCACCAAGTTGTGAGTTGTGTCCACTGAGACTACCCTCTTGTGTGGGTAAATCTGATGGAAACCAAAGTTTTATAGGCCATCTTTGGGAACCCTTGTACATCACTTGTTATAAAAACAGGACAATCAAGATTGCCAAATGTCCTCATGGATATTTCCATCCATTTAACAACGTTTGTCAAATAAAAATCGGACATGGTATGCCATTTTGCCATGTGACTGTATATACATGTAAAAACTGTCTGCACAGTTAAGATTTGCTAATCAAATAACATTTCAATGGTCATTACTTCTTTTCTAGATGGTGCTCCGAACTATTGTAAAACACATCCATTTGCTGTTGTGGCCAAAGAGGACAACTGTGCCCAATATTATAATTGTTCACTTCCTGCCAAACGATTTGCAAGCAATCAAATACAAGAATGTACTTATCCTCATTTGTTTTCAAGAACAACTTTGAAATGTGAAACATTTACCTCAGTGGCCTGTGATAACAGACTGGAACCGCAGGCCCCTTGTAAGTTTGTCTCAAAATGAACTGAACTTTACTATTAAAGATATAGAGGATTAGTTTTACTATTCTGAAAACCCGGCAAAAGAAGTTGGAAAAACTGATATGTTTTATTCACTTGATGTTATTATGTGATCATACTGTATCTGTTTATCATCTTTTGATGTTCATGTTCGGTTATGAAATACAACACAGCCTGTTGAGGGTTCTGAACAAGACGTTATTATTGCCAGATCAATCAATCAGTCAATCAAAACCCTGCAATATTAACAATATTAACATTAGTAAATATAAGCAAAATAATAATAATAATAATAAAATGATTGTCAAGAGAGATAATTCCCTATGAATACAAAATATCTATATTTCTCCACAATTAAAGAACATTAAAGCTTGTCGTTAAACTTTACAATGAGTATTATCTTAATGTATTTTAACATTATAAATACTAAATAAGCATAAAATCACAATTAGAATAGATGTGTATCTGCGAGTAATAATACTGCATATATATACAATGTATAGAGTTTCATAGTGATCTGTAAATTAAAGGTGCTTGGACACAGATTTTAAGTAAATATTTTCTCAAATTTTCGGTATAATATCATGACTTATATGTTTTTATAGCATTTCACATGGAAATAAAATAAAAAACTTATTTTATCTGGAAATTATTGAAACTACAAATTTCGGGACGCGTTTGATTGACACATCTATGCACTTTCACAAAGTATACTTTATCCATAATACTTAAGAAAAGTAGAAATTTTGTTGTGCATTAATGAAAAATATTAAACTATAATCCAGAAAATAAGGAGTAGAAATGTGAGAAAGCAAAACCAACTCACCAGTATTGTCAGTCCGTGCTCAGTGATGTGTGCAGCGTTTAACAAATTGAACACACCCGTGAAACGTAAACTGTTTCTGTAAACAGGGCACGAGCTCTGTTATTGTTAATGTTTACGTTTCTCCGGGTGTGTATGATCACATGGTTTTGCTTTCTTACATTTCTACTCTGAATTTTCTGGATTATAGTTTGAATACATTTCATTAATACACAACAAAAAATTACTTTTCTTAAGTATTAAGGATAAAGTTTGCTTTATGAAAGTGCTACGATGTATCAATCAAACGCGTCCCGAAATTTGTAGTTTCAATAATTTACAGATAAAAGTACGTTTTTAATTATATTTTTGTTTGAAATGCTATAGCAACATATAAGTCATGATATTATACCGAAAACTTGAGAAAATTTTAACTTCAATTCTGTGTCCAAGCACCTTTAAATGTCTTCTTAATCCTACACACCAGATCATAAAATATATTGCCTGAAAAATATAAAGCAATGTGATCTTTCTATTTACATCATACAATAAAATATCATTCACACTCATTAACTAATTGGAAATTTAATTGAAATATTGGACGCATATTCATATCAGTAATAAGTTATCAACTTATCAGAAGGAGAGGAAAATTCAGTCTCTATCAAAACATATATGTCAGACAATTACATCTAAACTAACCAAGCTTTAGACAAAGAAGGTCAAGAAAAACAAGAATCTTTTGGTGGGGAAAACATTAACCAACTCCCAAGTAAAATACAATGTAAAACACCAATGAAATTAAAAGAAACATTCAACATTAGATTTGGATATAATTAATTATATAAGGCCATTTTTTTTCTATATCCGTAGTACACCTATTGATAGACCATGGGTGAATACACACAAAAAGGTTTATATATAAACTGAATAATTACATCATTCAATGTGCATTTCTCAATCAGATAAATATAACATATGGCGCTTTTCAAACATGAACATAAAGTATACATGCATGCAAAGAAAAAAAAATTGTATCTGCTATACATTCACCTGGTATAAACTTGGAAACTGGTCGAAAGACCACGCTTTATTTACATATACCTTGCACTATAGGTACACGTGTATATATTTATAGTCAACATAAGAAAAATCTATTTTGCAGATTTATTGTTCTCTGAAATGTTTCTTGTAGGTGAATATAATCAAAATAAGTGTGGTCCACTAGATCCCTCCTGTCAACCCTGTCCGGAGAGACTGCCCAGTTGTGTTGGAATTCCTGATGGTTTTCAGCCAGTGACCGGACACAGATGGACAGACAGATACATAGAGTGTCAAATGAATCGGACAATCAGGATCTGTAATTGTTCCCCAGGATGGGTCTTCAATCCCTTTACTGGTGCTTGTGTACAATATGTTATGCAGAGTAAGCATTTAAGTTTCTTAACTTTAAATGATTCTTTAAAATTAGTTCACAGATTAAATTAAGTGTTTAAAATGCTATAAATTATTAAACGTAGCTTTCATTTTCAGGCTATTTACTGCTATCTGCTCCCATCAGTTGTCATGTTTTGTTAATGAAACTTTGATGCGTCAAATTTCTTTTCTTAAATGAATGAGTCATATTCAACCATTTGTTTCAAAGCATTTTGGATGAAGGAGACGAAAAATATGCCTTGTGTGACCTCATGTGAGTTTCAAAAACCATGAAATTCATGAAGTCTGCAAAATAAAAAATTCTATTTTTTGACATCTAGTACTCAAACTTTAATTTTAATGAACATGTAGTTTCTACAAAAATGTAATCATGATCCGTGGGACAATACTCTTTGCTCAAGATAAGGCTAAGTAGGTCAGATATTAAAAATATTTTACACTCTTAAAATCCTTCTTAAGTTACATTTTGACATCTAGCAGACAAATTGTTTACAAGATGTAAGATGCTTACATATGTAAGTAAAATAATTGAAAGAAGTCATCTTTATACAGCAAACGTGTAAAATTACCTGCGTGTGGTGGTGGTGGTGGGGGGGGGGGCGCTCTCTTTAAGTTTCCGATGAAAATTGTTCACCAAAAATAACAATAAAATTAATGTATAAAATGTTCCTTGATTGTATGTGACATTTGATAAGCCAGCTGACATGCATGGATTTCACTGTAGAGATAGAAGAGTTACGTTTCGAATTTCGTTTTTTGGTTTGTGTGTGAGGGTGTGTGTGGGGGGGGGGGGGGGAGGAGGGGTCCTCGAGCCTCTATGCTCTTGGAATGCTAATTATGAAATATTTTTTAGTTCTTCTTTGTTGCACTTGCATCTGATTCATGTAGCTAGAAGGCACGAGATGATTTTGATTCGTTTTTCAAATAACTCTAAACCTTGTTGTGATTTTAGACCTTGAGCATTTATCCGCAAACCCTTATATGTGGGTCTCGTTAATCCATTTTGTTTTAGTGTGGGTAACATTTCAAGATTTCGGAAATCTATGTTGTGTTGACAACCTAAGATTTTCCCCTGATAAGTCAACTGTGGGGCTAAAAAATACCTGATGGAGTGAATATAGTTATGCGTAATTTTTTTTGTCACATTATGAAAAGCTGCTTTTAATGCCCCATCGCCAATTGTGTACTGGTCCATTTTTGCTTTTTGGTCAAGTGAATAATAATAATAATAATAATAATAATAATAGTTCCAATGTTTTCTTTCTCTTAGCAGCTTCAGTTTGATTTTCAACGATTTCTTTTTAATTCCTCATCAGTTATTCTTTTTCTGGGGGTGTTCGCTGTTTATGGATCTCGTTTGTTTGATTGTTTGTTGTTTAACGTCCCTCTCGAGAATTTTTACCCATATGGAGACGCCACCACTTGCCGGTGGAGGGCTGCAAATGTATACCTTTACTCGGCACTTAGGGCCATTGAGCAGTGAGGGATATTTTTCGTGCCAACACCTACTGCGACACGAGACCTTGGTTTATACGGTCTCATTCGAAGGACCGGTCTCCACGACCCGCAGTGGATTCGAACCCGCGTCGTAAGGATCGGCTCCTTACTTCGTGACTCTAGAACAGACACTCTAACCATTGCGCCACGCGGGCGACTTTGGATCTCTTAAGCACAAACTAACCGCTTTTGATTTTAGACATAAGAATTCAAGTATTGCCATGTAATTCCTCTGAGATTTAGAAAGAAAATGATTCGATCAAAGTGAAAACAGCCAACCATTACGATTCAAGCGTAATTTTTATGCTTTGTCATTAGTTCAGAGGTGTTCTTAGTAACCATTCAAGATATCTTGTTCAAACTTTCAGCGATTACAGTATAGTGTTTGTAGAGGTGCAGGAATGCTTTTTTTTTATTATTAAAGCACAGAGGCGACGAAGCTTGGTAGGATTCGAAAATATGGCTCAGAAATATCTCGCAAAATTTGACACGTTTAAAAACATAAATAACGAGTATATAATAGTATGGTATTAGGGGCACTTACATGATTTACCGATATACAATCAACACATGATGGGAGGTAGAAAGACATAACTACATTGTAAACTTAAAATACCTTATTCTTGAAGGCTAATATCTCCTTTCAATCTCATTCTATGAAGGTATCAAATTAGGAAGAAAAATTCTTTTCATTCAAGAACCCCAAAGTGAAATTATTTTTTGTTATTGATATTTGAAGATTAGTTTTATTTTAAAATTAATCTTCATATTCTCTTTTAAAAATGTACACAATCACACTCCTAAAGCAAATGTTCAATTGTTTCTTCTTCCACCTGGGGAATCAAAGTCTTACATAGTAATATATAGAAAAAAAATCTTTAATAATCTTCTTCTCAAGAACAGGAAAGCCTTGTTTATTCATATTGATACGGAAGCATTCTCAACTAGTGTAGAAATGATGACCCCGCGGGTAGGGGTGGCCAACAATGTGGAAGTTTAACATAGGAATACATGTATATAGGAAAAAATCTTCTCAAGAACAGCAAAGCAATGTGTTTAGTCATGTTGATATGGAAGCATTATCAGGTGGTGTACATGTAGATTCAAGTTTGTTCAAATGATGACCCTCGGGGGTAGGGTGGGGCCACAATGGGGGGATCAAAGTTTTACATAGGAATATATAGGAAAAGACTTTATAAATCTTCTTCTTAAGAGTAGCAAAGCCATGATTAGTCATTTTGAATTGGAAGCATCCTCAGTTAGTGTAAATTCAATTTTGTTTAAATGATGATCCCCGGGGGTTGGGAGGGGCTAGAATGGGGAATCAAAGTTTTACTTATATAAGAAAAAGTCCTCTTCTCAAGAACAAGAAAGCCATGATTAGTCATTTTGATAAGGAAGCATCCTTAGATAGTGTGGATTCAAGTTTGATCAAATGATGACCCCCGGAAGTAGGGAGGGGTCACAATGGGAGATCAAATTTTTACAAAGGAATGTTTAGTAAAGAAAATCTTTAAAAGTCTTCTGCTCAAGAACAGCAAAGCCATTTGTAATATTGTTATGGAAGCATCCTCAGGTAGTTTAAAATTCATCCCCCTCCCCCATGTAAACTTTTCAATACTAAAGTGATTTAATTTGTGCTTTTTCCTAGTCAATGTGTTCAGGTGAACGTATGGCCCATTGGCCTCTTGTCTTTATTATTTTTCCTATTTTTAAAATGAAAATGATTTTTCAGCTGTTTGATAGGGTTCTCCGATTTTTTAAAACTTTGAAAAATACACGAGCGCAAGTAGGTACATTTTTCTCTTTCGGTTGGTCATTGCATTTTATATAAATTTACCTATGTGTGAAAGGAGAAAATTGAACCTCAATGCTCTCAATTCATGTGATTAAAAGCCTTCAAAAAATCCAAAAGGCCTTACCCATTGTAAACGACTGTTATTTAATTGGCGTGAACTCGCATGGCCCTTCGTAACCTTACTCACCTGTCCAGATGAATACGCTTAACATTCCACGTGGTATACATTCTTCTCCCATGTTGTCGACATTACTTGTCAGCAAAATCATCGCAATTTTCGTTTCGTTTAAGAGGGTAGGTAATAAATCTATAGCTGTAATTGTTTGTTATGATAAAAAAAAAGGTTATCTACTTAAAACTACATACCTGTATTTTGAAAATTGATTGATTGCTTGAGGTGTTCAACTCAATACTGAATACATATCATATGTGCTTTGATTCTAGACTCGTACATGTAAACATTGTCACGTGATATGAAAATTGACATGCATTTCCCTCTACTATACTAAGTCCCACCAATTCTTTTTCATCTTTATTCTTTATTCATAAAACAACAAATGGTCACAAACTAGGACGAATTTTGCTGTTACAGGGTCTAAAAAATCAACGATAATGCAGTATTTCATATAATTATAAGGTATTTAAAAAAAAATATGTATTTTTTACGACTGAGCAAAGACACTTGTTTCGGTAATATTGTTTTTAACCCATAGTATAATAATAACACAAGGTATCCAGCTCCGAATTATATATGGGTTAAAAATTTAATACCGAAACAAGTGTCTGTGCATTGCATTGTACAATGATTGGCAAATCATGTTTGTATTTGGTTGAATGACTTGTTCTCTTTACTGAGTTTGTGTCTGGGTTGAATTTCAGATAATGTGTTGGACTATTGTCAGTACCATCCAACAGACATAATACCTGACCCCATCAACTGTGCTATGTATGTGAATTGTTCCACAGGCAGGACAAGGTATGGAGATTACAAACTTGAATGTTCCTATCCTCAACTATTTGATGTATCTTCGGGAAGGTGTAGGAATTTTGATACAGTTAACTGTAAAGGGAGAAGGATCCCTGTTGAACCATGTGACTATGAGCAGAACATATGTCTCCTGGGAGATAACTCCTGTAAACCTTGTCCAGAGAGATTCCCAAGCTGCGTTGGATTGATAGATGGTTTCAATCCTGATCCCAGATCTCTGTGGACGGGCAACTACATCAGATGTTTCCACAACAGAACAGTGGCTGTGGAGACTTGTCCAAGTGGATATTTTAATGTCAGAACAAGACAATGTTCAGAGTTTGTCAACCCAGGTAAGAAATTTTCATTTCATTATGCCCCACAGTAAAAAGTAAAACTTGGATATAATGAATTAAGTCCTGAGGACCTGTGGATTTACTTCATTATATCATTATTATTTATAACTCTGTTCCGAATTCACAAATATGTAGTGAATTGGCAAGATACCACGTTTTCCTTCTTATGACTACCAAATCCCATGGATATGTAGAAAGCAGTTTTTTAAAAAGGCATTGATAAAAAAAAATATGGGTTATATCCTTCAAAAATTCAAAATAATTTCCTGGACGCCCTGTGCCTTCCTCAGGACAAAGAAAAAAGTTAAGAAGTCATAAAATCAAAGGAAATAGAAAAACAAAAACGGCTAGCACTACTACTAAACTACCAAACACTATTTATAAACAATGTTACATGTTGAATTTGAATTTTATAATCAGTTGTGAAGAAATAAATCCGGACCGCTATGAAATACGTCCGGTCTGTCGGGTGTACTCTGGTGAAGTTGGATTGAAAAATGATTTCAATCCTGATCCCAGATCTCTGTGGACGGGCAACTACATCAGATGTTTCCACAACAGAACAGTGGCTGTGGATACTTGTCCAAGTGGACATTTTAATGTCAGAACAGAGTATCATTGTATCCGCGAAATCGGGTATAGGCGTCATAATCACCTTATAAAACCTAAAGAATGGGATGGCGCATTTTGCCGAGTCAACTTTCACCTAGATACAAATGTTATCTAAAGGTATCACTAGCCAAGTAAGGATCTGGAAGTCTTAATTAATGTGCATATGACAACAAACACCCAAGGAGCTTAGTACAATTCATGATCTGCACCTAAACAGGTATTCGTTCTGCTTTATATATTTTATGATGTTAAAAGTATTTGCAACTTCTTCAAGTTCATACCCAAAACAACAGAACTGTCAAATATCGCAAGTCGGGATTTTTTTGTATTTTCACATCAATGCGACAAACATGAACAATTTGTAAGTAACACAAATTGTATGGAAACACATTTCACATACAAAATAATGTCAGGAGACTGTCTATAGTATCCAATTATGCGTCATTAACTGCTTTTACATTCATCTTGTGCCTAAAATCAAATTTATTACAAAATGTAAACTATTTAATGGTTAAAGTGTTTCAAATTACAGCTTAAAGCCAATATAATGCGTACATACGTATTGTTTTGGGGGTTGGGGGTGTCGTGAGTTGATTTTTTTTTTTTGGTCATTTATACATATTTGTAGAATAGCATTCTTTACATATATCTTGTATCAGTACATTTGCTTTACAAACAGAGAATGACAAATAAAGCTAATTTCCAGAAATTATAAAAAGGCGACATAATCTTTCTTCTTTTTTTGAATTATTAAAATTTCCTCTGGATAAAACGTGCCTCCAACGTTTTAGCAAAGACAATGATGTTCTCAGCAACACAGATTGTGAGAGAAAATAACTGTTGATCGTTTAATTTCGATGAGTCGGCAACAATTTTTCGGCGACTTATTTGGGAAAAAAATTGCATAAGATGATTTTGGTCCTTTTTCTGATCAATGTACAGATGTATTTATTACTTTTATAATCTTTTTTCTGTCTTGTATTAACTCCCCTAAAATCTACATTATTGTAGTGAAATTGCATAGGTAAATAAATTCCCTATGACCTTTCACCCTGACCTCATACAGTGCAGGGAACTAATTTTATTACATAAACCAGCATCAGCATAAGCATTAGTAGCATCAGGATCGAGCTAGCATCAGCATCAGCATTTAAAAAACAGCATTACCAGGATCAGCATCAGCAAGCAAAGGATAAAACCAGCATTGACCTACATAAAATCAGCATTATCCTACTAGCATCAGAAAATCAATGAGTTTTAATTCAGTAAAAAATTAAAAAAGAAAGAAAGAATATTGGTTAAAGTATTCACATTATTAATACATAGTGAGATATTCTGATCAAATAACTGTAAAAGGCACTTTTATTGCTTTAAACGGCAATGCTGAAATTCATTATGTACTTCCGGTAGCAAGATGCTACTTCCGGTAGCATTGACCTAATTATAAAACAGCATCAGGATAAGGATTACTAGCATTCAAATCAGCAAGCAAAGGAAGCATTCAAATCAGCATCGATGCTGTAACAAAATTAGTTTCCTGCACTGTAGCCATCCACCCGTGCCGGCACGTTTCCCACATCAATCGAGTTTTACATGTATCAGCCAACTCTTTCACCACGTTGTTTACCTGCTTTGTTGTATGTTGCATGTACCCGTGTTTATTCAACGTGTTAACCTGGGTGTTCGTCGGCACCTCATACTAAGGTAGGCGACATTATAGTAAAATCCTCTATTTTACTACATTGGCGTCGCCGGTAAATCAGTGCGGGGGATAATGTATTTTGTATTTAATTTTGTATAAAATTCACGTGTGAGTTGCTACTCGTGAATAGAAACACGGGTTGAAATATTTTCTAATATTTCGAATTTAGTCAATTTGGAATATTAGGAAACTGTTGTTAACAGGTGTGATATTTACCGTTAGTTGCAAAGTTCCAACAATTTGACTAGTTTGCTATGTTATTTTGTCACTCGTAAGTTGTATTTACCTTGAATTTAGTTGTGTTAAAAACTAGTATTAATTGTAACGGGGACCGTTACAGATGTTCCCCAAACGCTCCCCAACTTCCTTTTGGTGTCTTATTCCCTGTAAGCTTCATAAAATAAGGCAATCAAGTATATTGGGGTTTTTTTTACGCATTATACGCGCGAACAGGGGCATGCATGTACAAAATTACCATGTCAACTTGTCTACACATTCAATACATCTTTATATTCAAATTTAAATAAAAGATGAAAAAAAAATCCGCTATATTAAGTATATCTGTATTTTACGCATTGCACGCGCGCGCACGTGCATGCATGTCCATGATGACCGTGTCATCTTGTCAACACTATTATTATATCAACATAATTTGAGTATCAAAGCATTTCATCAAAAAGTATAAAAGTTACAGCTATATCAAGTATATTGGTCATTTCATATTGCATGCGCGCGCACGTGCATGCATATGCATATTGATAATGTCATTTTGTCTACATTTATAATATGTCTATATATTCTGAGTATCGAAGCATTACATTAAAAAATGTAAAAGTTATGGTTATATCAAATATATTGATAATTTTACTCATTGCACGCGTACGCACGTGCATGCATGTGTGCGCTGACCATGTCATCTTGTCTACACATCTAATATATCTTTATATTCTGAGTTTCAAAGCAATTTATCAAAAAATTGTAGTTAAGTGTATATAAATTGTATTGGTGATTTCAATCATTGCGCACGCGCACACGTGCATGCATGTGCATGCTGACCATGTCATCTTGTCTACACTATTAATATATCCTTATATTCTGAGTATCGAAGTCTTTCATCATAAGATATAAAAGTTTTGGCTATATCAAGTATATTGGTCATTTTACTCATTGCACGCGCACTCAAGTGCATGCAAGTGCATGCATGTGTGCGCTGATCATGTCATCTTGTGTACACTTTTAATATATATTAATATTCTGAGTTTCAAAGTAATTCATCAAAAAATGTAAAAGTTAAGTCTATATCAATTGATTGGTTATTTCAATCATTGCGCATGCGCACACGTGCATGCATATGTATTTTGACCATGTCATCTTGTCTACACTATTAATATATCCTGATATCCTGAGTATCAAAGCAATTCATCAAAAGATGTGAAAGTTATGGCTATATCAAGTATATTTGTCATTTTACTGATTGCACGCGCACTCACGTGCACGCGCGTGCATGCATGTGTGCGCTGATCAAGTCTTCTTGTCTACACTTCTAATATGTATTTATATTATGAGTTTCAAAGTAATTCATCAAAAAATGTTAAGTCTATATCAATGGTATTGGTTATTTCAATCAATGCGCGCACGTGCATGCATGTGCATACTGACCATGTCATCTTTTCTACACTATTAATATATCCTTATATTCTGAGTATCAAAGTATTTTATCAAAAGATATGAAAGTTATGGCTATATTACAAAGTATATTTGTCATTTTACTCATTGCACGCGCACGCACGTGCATGCACGTTCGCGCAAAATGACCTTCGTTCCGCAAATCTTCATAACACTCCTATTAACCCTAAAAAGGTTTCACCTCAATCGGATGTGTAGTTTCGGAGATCACTCACGGACAAAAAAGTACCCAGGAAGAAAAATAATAATAATAATAAGTAGAAACTCATTGCGAGCAATGAGAGGTCTTCCGTCCAATTCTGAAAATAAAAACGAAAATTCAAGCTTAAAAAGTGATAAAAGAAATTCAGACATCCTGGAGATTTAACCCTGGTCGTCAGCGTGAAAATCCAACGTGCTAACCATTAACCATTCACCTTTTTGCATCACTTCCTGTCACGATCGGAAGTAACGGCGATACAAGATTTTCTCACGATTCAAATAAACTGATGACTGACTATCAGTCCTGAAAGTTTTAGACTTCAGTCCTTTATTGTGGCCGAGCAATATTGTTAGAACAAATTCTAATTTTGAGGACAGGTAAACACGCGACCGAAAGTGAATTTTATAAAATCTCTGACTTTTCTCTAGACATTTGCAGTATCTTCAACATACATAAAATTATTTCAAGTACTTTATCGATAAGCAATATTTATGAGAATGTTAAATATCAAAATAACGTAGTTTATCTCCTAAAACCAGAAGTTGACGTTTTTATTTCCGGTGGGACCAACATCTTTCGAATCTGAGAAAAAGATGCAATAAAGTGATGCAATTTTTAATTAAAAAAAGAAAAGTTGAAATTTTCGATTTCTTTGATCACTTCCTGTTACGACCGGAAGTGACGGCTGACGCTCTTAACCCAAATGGTTTTGCCTTCATCTTAAGGTCTGTTGTTCAAATAAGTTTGGTGTCTTAATCTCTCACCGTTTCCGAGATCTTGCTCAGACAACTTCTC